AACTAAGCATTTCTCAGTAGGTTTGTTTGTGAAGCAAAAACAGCAGGGAGGGTGGGCATGTTTCTGGAAAGTGAGGTCATTTAAAGAATTGCTTTTTATAACCTGATCCAATGGCTATTTCATCATACTGTTTAATGTTCTAGGCATAAAACAGATACAGGCCAACAGCTGAAAAATTTCCATCAGTTAAAAAAAAATGCAAAATAAGAATTTACTTGACGTCTCTCGAATTGCTGTGTGATAAAATGCTTTAGTATAAACTCTGTGACGTATCTGTGCAGGTGCACTTTACTGTCATCTTACCGTAGGGGTATATTCAATACCATTTGAAGCACTCATTCAGAGGGCTAGTCAGGTGCTTTAAATATTGTCATCTAGATATACCAGAGGGTTAATCAGCAAAAAAGATGTTAATATTTATCATTAGTGAATGGAGCTTGAAAAGTGGTTGACTAGAATTTTTGAAGGCAACAAACAGGGACGAGGTGCATCCCACTTACAGACAACTCCTACTTAACCTTTAATGCTATGTAAATTTTCCGTCACTTTGAAACAATTGAACCTCCTACTTACAACAAATTCTTCATCACAATCACCTTCACTTGCTGCATGTGTAAGCTTTTAAATCATGGAAAGGCTTAGACCTGTTTCAATTTACCTATAAATCAACTTAAAGACACATATAGGGATGGATTTCGTTCCTAACCAGGAACTGCCTGCTTGTATAATCTGGCAAATCCTGAAAGCTAATGCCTTTCGTTGTTTCTCAGTTTGCTTGTGTGCTGTATTCCACTCATTCACCCATTTAAGGCACTGCTGCCTGATCCAACCAGGCCACCTAATCCTACTGTCAAAATATCACTGCTTCTGCCTCACTGTCAATCTTTCAATCAAGGTGTTTATGGGGGTTGCTTGTGAGCACAGTTGGGACTTTCCAAAGCCTTCCAGGGGTCTGCTTGCTAATAAATATTTGTTCATGTGAGAGAATTCTGTTTAAGGTTTGCTTTTATTGTAATATACCACCAGGAAGCGAGGTTATGTGGGAAGACACATACAGTCTTACCTTCCTGTAATAGCTGGAGGCCACCGCCAAATAAAACTGTGATTGGTGAGTTATTAAATTAGCCTAGGCCATTTGTAATAGTGTATAAAGTAAACAAAATGCCCATCTACTTTCATTCCATGGTGAGGATCAGATGTAATGCCTAAATAATTCCCTTAATGTAGTGCCATACTGCAGAGCTCTTAAGATCAGGTGACTACTGATCTTCAAGTGCTGGACAGAGTGCGGTGCAGCCATTATAAAGGTGAAGGTGATCCTCTAGCAGTATTGGCCTTCCCAATAGACAGCTGAGAATTTTACACTTTCTCCATTTAAAACTCAATTACATAGAAGGCCTTCAGGCTTTGCTAATGATTGTACAATTTCAAACACATAATGAAAAAAGGAAACTGAGTCAAGATAGAACTGATGCTCTTCATTTTAAATAAAGTTATTTGCTATGCCTATTCAATAGGAAGATGGGGAAAAGTCAAGAATCACTTGGGTAAAGTTAGAATGTATGAGAAATCTAAAAGTAGCATCTATGTCAAACACATTTAGTGTTTCATGCTTTGTTGCTGGGTGCCATTGAGTCAATTCTGATTCATAGCAACCCTACAGAACAGAGCAGAACTGTCCCCAAGACTGTAAATCTTTATGGGAGCAGATTGCCAGGTCTTTTGTCCTACAGAGCCATTGGTAGGTCAAACAGTTGACCTTTCAGTTAGCAGCCCAGAGCTTAACTTTTGTGCCACCAGGCCTCCTTATTTCATGCGAGGTCAATGAAAAGAAATAAAACATTTTTTATAAACAATTTTTTTTAATATAATGACTGTGTGTACATGGACAACTGAGAGTAGGAAAAGCCCCACATTAATATTTTAACAAATTACAGCTATTACTAAAGACGATATACTTAGATTTTAAAGAAATAGTCCAATAGATTAAGAGTCTCTCATTCGATCTAGATGAACCAAATTCGCTTTTAATAAAACAACACGCTGTACTGGTAGACGTTTGACGTTTTGAACACTATATAAAAATGTGTTCCCTCAGTGATACCTCTCCTTCAATATTATTTAATAGTCTCTAAAATGGTAAAATAAAATTGAATTTATAATAGCAAATGAAAGTGCAAGTTTGTAGAACTAAGCTCAGCAGCAAAACTGAAGAAAAAGTGGAAAAACTGATGGATGTAGCACAGAACGAGGACATTCATAAAGGCATCTACCTGTGTCCTGTGTACCAAAGAGAGTCAACATTCCATATGTTTTCATTGCTCTTAAACGAGCAAAACCAAATTCTTTTTTTATTTAAAGAAATATTAACTCTTCATTTCCCCCCACATAATTTGTGATCAGGTAAGGCAAAGGTAAGTCCCTCCTTCACCGGGGACAGCAGCAGTATACAGACTTCAGAAATAGCCCCGGATCATCAGTAACATTCTCTCATGGTAACATAAGAAGAAATGCATCTAATCAATCAAGTGTGCAATGTTGTCACATTTTTTCTAATTTATTTGATTAGTTTACTTGGAAAAACTTTATAAATACATTATTTAAGACCACAGAAAATTATTTTCTTTCTCTGAAAAAATAATTATTTTCCCCCTCACATTTTAAAACTTTTTAGTATGCTTTCACAAAAGGAGATGCAAGAAGAATGCAAAGACAGCTGGGTTTGCAGAATGTCCATGTACAAACTGCATTTACAAGAACCTGGTCATCTGTCTATAATTTGCCTCTACAAATAGAGCTTTTTGCAGTAATATTTAAACAAATTGTCTTAATTAAAACATAATTTAAACATCTCCCTTATTCACTCTACTTGTAAAGAGGTATTTTTCAAGTACTATATATTGTAAAAGGTATTTTTTTTTTTTTTGCCAATTTTACATATTAGCTTTTAAGATTGAAATATCTATGTGAAAAATCATGCCTAGTTAGTCCATTTCTTTTATAGCCAAATGTTCTTATCGTTTAACGAATGCAGAAAAATATTGATTTGCTAAGGAGGAGCAGGCTGGGAAAATCCATTTTAAAGTACTGAAGAATAAGGAACATTTTCTTTTTCTATTGTGAAAATTATTAGAAAAGCTATCCAGTCTGTTGTCTTTAGCTGGTTTTAATAAAGTCTTTTCAAAATGATGTTCAAGAAATCTTTAGAAAACTGGAGGTGGGGCAAGGGAATGCTCCTTTATAGCATGGAAGGAAGTCCATTATTGTAGAAATTCTTAATAAATTTCTGCTTTGGTTCTTCAGAAGAAATGCTCATATAACTTCTATATTAGGAGACAGAGAAAAACAACAGATTAATGACGTTTATTTAAAATCATATGTAAAGAACACTCCAGAACTATCTTACATTTCTAAAGCTTTGTCATGCTTTCACATACATTGTTTCATATAAGAAGAATAAACAATTTAATCAGTGTTCACAGTATTCTTATAGTCAAATGAATTCTAATAATAGGAAACTATATGTTCTTTTCTTCACTTCGACATATCATTTATCTTTCTAAATTGTGTACATAGTTTGCATTTTTCTTTGAGGTTAGGAACTTACATTCATTTGTCTTGTGCCCTCAGCACTTGATGCTTACGAAAACATAAAAAAAAACAAAACATAAAAACCCAAACCCACTGCCATCGAGTCAATTCCAACTCTTAGAGTAGAACTGTCCCTATAGGATTTCCAAGGCTGTAAATCTTTACAGAAGCAGACTGCCTCATCTTTCTCCCACAGAGTGGAGGGTGGGGTCAAACTGCTGACCTTTGGTTTGCAGCCAAATGCTTTAACCACTGCACCATCAAAGCTCCTGGTTCCAAACATACTGGAGGCTAAATAAATGTTTGTTAATAAAAACACATGACCCTAACAGACCTCTGATACCAATTAAGGTCAAAGACACTGGACTGTATTCCCAGAGAATGTGTGAAAGGGCAGAATCAGGAACGCAATGGCCAAAGACTCAAATCTCTGAAACACTGGGGTCAAGGTTATGCAAAGCCTGGCAAATGAAACAAAAAGTCGCCTGAAGTTCTTTCCCTATGAACCTGCAAAGGAAGAAGCTGTACTGGGAGGTTTCCACCAACAACAAAGTGATCCAATTGTTCCCAGAGACTTACGAATCAAAATGTAAGAACTTTACGA